AAAAAAAAAAAAAAAATCAGGCATGACAGTCTCTCTATGTTTTCTCTCTCTTTGGAGCAATGCATCATCCATCTAGAAGGCGGCCTCAACATGCTTTTATAAGCTCACCAAAATATGAAGTTGAAGTGGACTTACACACAAGACATGTGGATTTAAATTCAATGAATGAAGGGGTAAATCTAGGATATGGGAAAATTTGAGTATTGTTGCTCCAAAGGATGGACCCCTATTTGACCTGACCATTACTTTTGCCTTGGGGGCACTTTGGCCAATTGGATAGTCAAGCTTTTCTCTGCTTCATTCATTCATGAGTAGAATAAGTCAACTTTCTAGTAGCTCAGCTTGTGGACACATGAGAGGAGGGAATAACAAGCTCTTTTATATTCTCTGAAATATTTGCTATCATGCTAATTAGTTTTCCAGTCTTTACAATTCAGTAACACATGTTGTCATATCACCATCCATTAAACTTGATGCAACTCTTTTTGTTAATCATTGTCCAAACCATCATTCACCATTGAGACATCATTTGATGCCATTAATATGCTCAAAAAAAAACAAAAACAAAAACAAAAAAATCCTACTTGCATATATATGCTTTCCTCGTATGTTATTACTTATTCATGTTTCTTTTTGCTTTCAGGCTTTGCAAATGATGAATCTGAATACAATGATGCCATTTCAGGATTGGCATATGTTCCAAATGATCCAAATCCATGTTGAAGAAGATAATGGTGATCTAGATTCTTCCCTTGAACTAATTGATGTGTTGCAAAATAGAGACCAAAGTTGCAGTCAAATGTGATAGACTCATACAAGAAGAAAATGATGAAAAAAAGAAAGAAAAAAAAGAGAGAAAAAAGAGAGAATAGGGAAATCTTGCTAACTTAAGTTGAACGATTGTCATCATTTTGAGGTCTAAAGTGAAAAGCTTAAGGACCAAACGCCATCTTTCATGAGCCTAATTTCCAAACACTTTACCCAAAAGAGCCATCCTTTCGTTAACCAAGTTGAGCCCAAAAAGAAGAAGTGAGCCTCTTCTTTCATACCTATCCCAAAACCGGGGAATATAGTTACATGCCTAATTAGGGGCAAGATCATATTGCTAAAAGCCATGAAGGGAAATCTCAAAAAAAAAAAAAAAAAAGGGAAGAGAAATCTCAAAAAAGGAGCCAAGTTCAAAGAGAGCAAAAGCTCGACAAAAGAAAAAAAAGAGAGAAAAGAGAAAAGAAAAAGAAGATAAAAGAGAAATGACAATGCAAATGTCACATGGCAAAGGTTGAAATAGAAAGCTTCTAACTCAGGCATGTAACTTGGGGGGCATGTTGGGTAATTTTGAGCCTTTAATTCCCATTCTTTTCATAAAACCTTAACCAAACCCCATTACAACTCGAGAAAAAAGTCCTTTTTGAGGGTTTTAAAGCTTTAGAAATCGAAATGATGGCAATCATTAGACTAAGGATAGCAAATCATGATCAAATTCAAGAGCTAATAGATTCAATGATGAGAGGCCATGTTTGTTTATCCTGAACACTTTACATTGTCTCTAGTCACCCTTTTGAGCCTAAAGAAAAGGCAATCATCCAAATTATAAAAGTTGAGATGATTCTCTTGTGAATTTACATCATGAACCGGGGGGTGAAGAGTGATTGTGAAGGGAAA